ATATATATTTATATGCTGTGTTAAATACTCTGTATAACTCTTAGGGGGGAAAAAAAACCAAAACCCTTTCCATATGAAGTCTGGGAAATAGTCCCCTCAAATCTTTTTGCTGAGCTCAGCCCTGTTTTGCCCTATCTTTCCTGCATTGTGGTGTTGGTTACCATACCCCCTGTCCAAACTCCCAGCTCTATGTGATGCTGTTTAATTGATGTGAGAAAGAAGAGAGGAGGGGCAGAGTCCTGAGCTGAGAAGAGAAATGAAGGCTGCACTCTGGTACTGCATGCTTTTGGGACCTGCCAGATGGCTGGTCTGAGTAGAGCTACTTCTCATTAACACCAGTATCTGATGAGGCTCAATTCTTGCCTCTGTGTTTGATTTCAACTATATCAAGAATATATTAGAAAGCTGTATGTTTTGGGGGTTGGATTCTTGTTAGCTTTGTCTAGTGCAGTCCATCTCCTAGAGAGGCAGAGGACTTAGACTGGCTGGATTGGTCTGTTTTCATCACTGCCCTTTTCAAAAGGGTCCAAGGGCAGTCAGAGCAAAGGCCAGGAGGCTATTTGATAGAAAGAGCATGTAAATCAAAACAGCAAATTATCTAGGTTTATACCTCAGAAATATTGAGCCTGGGGATCTCTTGCCTGGCTGGAAGTTGACCTACCTTGTCTCTCTTGTCTTACAGATGACTATGTTTCCATTGGTGCTGACTGTGAGCACATAGCAGCTCAGATTGAAGAATATATCCTTACTGTACAGAGCTTCCTCAAGGGCCTGCACACCTCCAGGCTGTGAAGTTAAGGTGCTTGGAGAAAAAATGGGACAATCTTTCTCTGCATAAATGCTCTACTACATCTCTGCTTGTCAGGGCTCTGGGTTTGGTTCCTGCTCTGCTTGGCTGAGTCCTGGGTCACTAAGGAACCACCAATGTGGAGCTGGGAGCTCAGGGCAGACCCCTTGCTGGTGTGATGGACGTGGTTATTTCCTACCTGTTCACACTATGATGGCATGTAATTCCCAGTCTGTCCTTCCCATCAAAATGTTATTCCTGCTCTCAGCTCTGCTTCCAAATACAACTTCCCTGTGCCTCCCTGTTGAGGAGAGTGTGCTGGTGTAGGCAAAAGCAATGGGAAGGACAGAGCGATGAGGATCAAGTTGCAGGTTGATTTGAGATCAGCCAGGATCTTGCTTGGTTTGAGGGCTGTGGGGCAGGAGATGCATCTGGGCTCTTGTAGTAGAGGGATTTGTGTCTACCTTTCTGAAAGAGCAGGTTGAAGAACCTGAGCATAACTGAAAAAGATTATTTCCAGCACAGTGAAGCTTTAAAGCCATAATTCAAAGCCCCTGGACTCTGGGATTGTATAAACCTGCTCTCAAATCCAGCATTAACCTCCCGGAGCAGATGCTGCTGTTGGGTCCCAGCACCATCATCTGTGTCCTGCAGTGGGTAACACTCCCTGATATTCATGAGTGGTTGTAGAAAATGCTTGGAGGTCTCTGGGTTGATTGCAAACTCCTTGACTCCCACCTACGCATATACCAAGATGTCAAGAACACCGACATGAAATACAAGAACCGAGTGAGGAGCCGCATCTCCAATCTGAAGGACTCCAAAAACCCTGAGCTGAAAAAGAACGTGCTGTGTGGGGTGATTACCCCCGAGCAGATCGCAGTGATGACCTCGGAGGTGAGGAAGCCTGAGGAGCAGGGTTTGCGCCTTACAGGGGATGTGAACTGTGGTTTAGCTTGAAGCAAGGGGTTGATCTGCTGCCAGGGTTGCAGATTTCTCAGCAGCTGCAGCCAGAGCACATCAGGAGGGAGCAAGCAGTGGGGTTTGCAACGTGGAGAGTCTGTTGGGCTTTCAGATCATCACAGGGAGCCTAGGTATAACCCAAAACCCAGGAATTAAAGGCTTTTTCTCTTAATACCCATCTGTTAGGCCACCCTGTCTTGTTGACTCTTTCCACTGTGGTGGGTGTGGTGGTAAAACTGGACAGATGTGATTTTATTGCCTTTTTTCTTTTTTTTTTTTTTTGGAAAGGAAATGGCCAGTAATGAGCTGAAAGAGATCAGGAAAGCCATGACAAAAGAAGCAATTCGGGAGCATCAGATGGCCAAGACAGGAGGGACTCAAACTGACCTCTTCACCTGTGGGAAATGCAAGAAGAAGAACTGTACCTACACCCAGGTTAGTGTTCCTACTCCTGCAGCCTCTGCACAGGATGTGACCCGTCACCATCACGAGCTCTTACTGTTCTGTGACAGGCCCTGCAGCACGGCACAAACATCTCCACTGATGGGGAGAACCTTTTCGTACGCTCGAGGCTCTCAAATGTGCTGCTTTTGCACAGTGATTTTGCACACATCTTTCCTTGGAGCTCGTGTAACTTTTCTTGGCTCATTTGTGCAGGAGCAGGGGGGTTGGGCAGCACCAAAGAAGCTTTCAAAAGTACAGTGGTGAGAGAGAGAGAGCTGCATGTTGAAAGCAAGTGCTGGGAATGTGGAGATTGAGACAAGAAAGGAGTGGGCAGTGTAGAGGAGAGACTGCAGAAACTGAGGCAGGCACGTTGGTGGTATTAAAAGTGGGAATTAAGAGCACAGATAAGCTGCAACTGGACAAATCCCAACTTACTTAAAATCAAAGGTGAATCAGGTGAAACATAAGGAATAAAGGAAGCAGTGATGTGAGCAGGCAGAGGGGATTTTTCTCCTCAATGGGCAGTTGTTGGAAGCTTTGTGCATTACCAATGCTTTCTAGTTCCCATGTTCACACCAGGCATCTGGAGATAAATGTGCCTTTGCCTGTGAGTCAGTGTTTCAGAATGTGCAGATACCCAAAAACACACCAGCAACCACACCAGTGCTACCGAGTGGGTGCACACAGACTGCCTGTGCTGAGAGAAACTCCTTCGTGTGCTTGGACATGACGTGCAAACGCGGAGCAGAGCCAGGCAGCTGACCAGGGATTTTCCTTTGGCTCTGTGAGCACATCCCAGGGAGGCAGCTGGAAGCACTGTCTGGGCTGTCTCAATTGCCTCAGCAGCATGTGGGACTCGGTTTCCACTTGTAGGGGACTGGAGTCTGACTGCCTGGAGTTGGGGCAGGTGACAACAAGTGTCTTCTAAATAGAAATATCAGAGGGTTTTCTGTATTTTTTTTATTAGTTTTCCAGTGAAATCATTATTTGGTGACTGAAATCCAAGTTCCACGTAGATGAGCTGGTATTTATGAAAGCACTGGAAGCCAGGCTGTAATGTTGGGTGAGAATTAAGGAATTTAGCTATCCAGCATGCTTGCAAAACATGCTTAATTTGCATCATGCAAATACCGTAACTCTTGCATATTGGGTAATTACACATGTAGATCACCATAATTACCCCTTGACATAGTTCTGCTGTCTGGCTTGCGCAAGGAGTGCCAGTTATTTTTGGGGTAGATCTGCCTTGTGGTATTCCAACGCTGTGAAAATGTGACTTTTTCAGCAAAGTATGTGTTTCTGGCAAGAGCCAGTCAGAGGCAGCAGTCACATCTGGGTTAAATATCAGAATTCCTTAATGACTCAAATACAAACCAGGCTGGAAATGTGCAGAACCTGGTAACCCAGAGCATGTTCCTGTGAGGCCAGGACGTAGGGCTGCTCTGTAAAAGAATGACTTGAGTGCTTTTTTTATGTGTTGCTGTGGAGCACATGCTTGATGGGCTGAGGGTTTTGTTGTCTCGCTGACGGCTGCATCCCTTCCTGGGGGACAGTACAGGGAGGGACTGGCTGTGGGTACATCCACTTCTGGAGCCACCTGCAAGGAATGGGCAGCAGAAGGGGTGAGGAAAGCAATGTGCTGCCCCAAAACATAGTGTCAGGCTAGAGAGGAGTCATGAGGGGTGTGTAGAGGTGTGTATCTGTGTCTACAACAATAACCAGACTCATTTTGCAGAGAAAAGCTCCTTTTGCCCTCCCAAGCCTTGGTCCCTCATTGATTTCTGACAATGTGACTCCAGCATGAATCCTTGGTGGCCAGAGGGACAAGGAGCTCCCTGTGACCCCCTCCACGGGGGGCTGTGTGTGATGCTCAGCTCTCACTTCCCTTGTGTCCTCCCCCAGGTGCAGACCCGCAGCTCCGATGAGCCCATGACCACCTTCGTCGTGTGCAACGAGTGTGGGAATCGCTGGAAGGTAGCACACCAAGGATATTACTGGCACTGAGGGGTCTTGGGGTAGCTGCACCCACCATGCTGCAGATGCTGAGCTGCTGCCCTCGGCGGTGCTTTGCCATACGCTGACTGGCTCTAGCAAGTGATCTTTTCCTCCCAGCACAGAGGCAAGAGCCCCTGGGTTCATCCCATCTCTGCAGACCAGCTGGGGTCAAGTCTTGCTTTTGTGTTCCCCTGCCTCCCTCCTCACATCCCCTCTTGTGCCATGACCAGCCTCACAGTGCTTTCCATGCTCCCTCTGTCCCCACCAAGAGATGGTGGTGATGACATCATTCAGGATTTTAAACCAGCTCATATTATACTGCACACAGAGCTCGGGGGTGAGCAGAAATCTCTCGGTTGATGGTGAGCAGAAATGGCACCACTACCATGGTGGTAGTGGTGGAGGGTCTTTTTATAAGGGTAGTTAATGATAGAACAAGGGGAAATGGCTCGAAACTGGAAGAGGGTAGGTTTAGATTAGATATTAGGAAGAAATTCTTCCCTGTGAGGGTGGTGAGACACTGGCCCAGGTTGCCCAGAGAAGCTGTGGCTGCTCCTCCCTGGAAGTGTTGAAGGCCAGGTTGGATGAGGCTTTGAGCAACCTGGTCTAGTGGAAGGTGTCCCTGGTGATGGCAGGGGGGTTGGAACTGGATGAGCTTTAAGGTCCTTTCCAACCCAAACCAGTCTGGAATTCTACCACGTGCCAAAGAGCCAGAGCTGAGAGATTCCACTGGGAGCTCTGTCTGGCCCCTGCTCCAGGGGCTGAGCCCTGCCTGCCTCTGTAGAATCCCCAAACCCTGACCAGCTTCAGAAACAAGACCATCACCTGGATCCCTGTTTTCTTCCAGGCAGCACACACATAACCCACATCTCCCCTTGGCAGTGAGGTTTTTTTTTCTAATCAGGGTTTAAACTCCCTTCTCTTGCAGTTCTGCTGATATGTGCCATGGCCCGAGAGTGGCAGCCAAACGCAGATCAGAGCGCAACCTCCATACGCCGGCTCCCACGGCAGTTGTGTTTTGTGTCCCAAGTGAGTTTGCATTGTCACACACCGAGAGTGGCAGGGGGAGCCCTGCCTCTCCGTGTGGGCCTCAGGGCAGAGCCACAGCTGTGGGCTGACAGGTTGGCAGGAGAGCTCACTATAAACACACTTAGTCGTTATTTTCTCATCTAAGCAAGTATGGTCACTTTTACTTCAGAACTAATATTAAATGGTTTTTTTTTTTGTCAGTTTCTGGCTTTTATTTGAAGTGTGTGTGTAGCACTTTGGGTTTTTGGGGGTTTTTTTTTGTGGTGTGGAATTGCATGGGAGCTTGACAGACAGCTTGTGTTTAGATGGATGAGGACTGAACAGTGTCTGGACCACCAGAAAACGAGAAACCACTTGTAGGTACAGTGTGTGAAGGCTTGTTCCCAGTCAGCTCATGAAATCCAAAGCACTGGGCCAGGTCCTGGGGTGGTTGGGTGGGCAATGCTGGTCATCTTCACCTGGCTGAGGAGACCTGTTGCTGGAACACAGCTTTTGGGGCACAGATCAGATGCTGCTTTCCATCTTGGCAGCATTCATTTGGTTTTGTGGTGATGCATACCTTGTCATCTCAGGCTTTTAAATGCCAACAGCATCGGAGATGAGAATGTGATGCCCAGATTGTAACAGACTGAAAGCAGAGTGATGCCAGCCACAAAAAAAACCCCATAAACTCTTGATTTAGGGGAGCAGGCGAGGTTAATGTTTTGTAACTCTGTGGAAGGAGACCCTTGTAGCCAAGAGCTCCCTCAACCTCCACCTGGGAACAGGGAAGGTCTGTCAGCCTGTTGCTGTTCCCACTGCCTTGCAGCAAGTTGTTCCCCGTGGCCATCATGCAGGGAACTTGGGAATGGTTTATCTGATACAGGGAGAAGCCATCAGTAAAGGAGGTTGGAGGGAATCCAGGGGCCAGTGGGAGTGTTAATAGGGAGTCCCAGGATCTTTCCTGCTTGTATACGCTCTGCTCTTGGCTCCATGACTGAAAGGCAGCCTGAATTCTCAGAGGGACTGGCTGGAGAGGCTCAGGAGGGGAAATGCTGCAAATACAGCAGATTTTTTGGAGGCTGGGTCCACAGCCAGGTATCTGTGGGAGCTGTTAGCACTTGGCTCTAGAAATGGGTGAGGTTTGAAGTGAGCTCAGAGCTGGTGCGGGGAAGGAGTGAGATGAAGAAAGGAGCGAGTAGCAAAGCAAGCGTCTGGTACCACATCAGCAGATACAACCATGTGAGGGGACCTGTGGGATTAGCTCTTCTGGGAGGAAAATACAACCTGGTGGGGAAGTTCTGTCTGTCCTCATGACTTAAAATCCCTCTCACCTCCTTTTCCTAGCCCTTGACTGGGGTGACAGCATTCAGGGACCCCAAGCTGAGGCTGCTCAGGAGCAATCCTCTGTGCTGCAGCTCTTGCACTGACAAGCAGTGCAGGAGCATTTGCAGTCACATCTCTTAGGGCATTGTTCCCCTGTTCCAGAGTGAAAAACAAGTATTTCCACTGGTTTTTCAGCATGCCAGACAGAAGAGATTCACCAGAGACCTTGGAGATGTTTAGAGAGGAGTAAGCAGCCACATGAAAGCGATGGAAAACGTGCTCACAGCCCCTTTGAGGGCTGTGCTCCTCTGGAAGCAGCGATCCCAACAGGATCCTTCGCTCAGGGCTTTCACTTTACGGGGTGCAGCCAAGTCTCCCAAGAAGGAAAAGATTCAAAGATGCTGACAACTTATTTAAGCCTCACGAGTCTTGTGGCGAATGGGATTGTTCAAGCCAGGCTTGGGAGGGAACAGTGTCCTCACAGCAATGCTTAAAAAGCTTCAGGCTTTGAAACCCTGGCTCGTGTGTTGTGTACCAGTTCCTGTAAGGAGGGGAGTTGAGTTTGGGCCCAGTTTGCTGATAATCCTGAATTAAGAGGGTCCTAAGCAGCAGGAAACCCTCAGAAGTGAGGGGAAAAGTACTGTCTCTCAGCATTTTATGTGTTTTCTGGGATAACACCAAGGAGAGGCAGTGAGGGGAAAGCCACTGGATAATGAGGTGTTGCAGAAGTAAAGATTAGTTTATAAGGTGTTTAAAAGTGCTGGGATTAGGAGCAGGAGACTGGTTTAACTGGTGGCAGTGGGGTCTTCCCTGGGCTGAGATCTCCACGGTGTGCAGAGGCTCTGACCTGCCTGCCCTGCTCTTGAACAGCTTCAGGGA